CCAGGTCCTCCCCACTGCCAGGGATCCATCTCACCTGCAGGTAGTGATGGCAGGGGACCCAAACTTGCAGCCAGGGCTTCAGCTGTTGTCCCGGGCGAAAACCGCGAATCCGCGGCCGGGGTCCTGGAAGCCTCCGGCGGCCGGCCCAAAATCGAGGCCGCGGCTTCACCCGCGATCTCCGGCGGGTAGGCCGCAACCTCCCGAACGGTCCGTCGGACGCTGGAGGTGCGGGCAGCCGGGGTTTTTTTTTTCCCATCAGGGTGCTAGAAGGACAGGGGGACAGGGAGGAAGCGGAGGGACCCCCCCTGAGGGTCAGAAATCGGCCGATTTGTCCGGTGGCCGAGACAGTAAGTTAATAGGCAGCCATCCTGGCTGCTGCTCACGAGCGCCCCCAGATTTGTATTTTTTAATAAATACATATTTAAAAATGCAGTAAATGTATGTATATATTTATTGAAATATATTACTTTTTTATTTTTACATATATATTTATATTTACATTTTTACTAGTAATGGCGGTGTTCAGCCATTTATAGCAGGACTACGGGGGGCATTCTGATACTGGGGGGGAACAAACTTGGTGTCACTGACACCCCAGTGACACCAATACAGTGATCAGTGCTAAAAAAAAAAAGCACTAACACTGTATTAATGACACTGGGCAGTCATTGTGAGGGTCGATCAAAGGGTTAACTGTGTGCTGGGAGTGTTTTACTAGGGGGCGGGGTGTATTCTTTACTGTAAGCACACTGATCAGGGTGGCTGTACTGTGCACAGCCATCCCGAGCAGTGTGTTCGAGCTGACAGGGAGGAAGATTGTAAACAAAACAATCTTCCTCCCCATCGGAGATGCTCGGTAATCACCAGGCGCCGGCAGGTGATTACCGCCCGGGACCCGGTGATTGACATCCGTGGCCACAAATGCCGGCGCGTTTAGGGCACTTGCGTGTGCCCCCTACCCAGCACTGCAGAATGACGTATATACTGTATACGTGATCCTGCGCACAGGTGCCACCCTGTAACAGTATATCTGCTATAGGGCGGTCCTTAAGCGGTTAACGAATGCATATGTTTCATTCGGATGACATCACATGATGCAATAGTAGTTTGGTCTATGGGGAAACGGATTCAATTTTCCAATTTGTTGCATGTCACAGATCCTTATCATCCTCACCAAACCATAAATACACCGCTGAGGATGTTACACAGCTCATTGAAGTCATACTTACACACAACTATTTCACTTTCAATAAAGAAATCTATCTTCAATGTATGGGTACTGCGATGGGAAGTAAAATGGCACCCCAATATGCCAATTTATTTATGGCTGGCCTGGAGGAAAAATTCCTGAACAGCATGGAACAAAAATCATACAGATACTATTGCTATATTGATGATATTTCAAAACAATTTTACTCATTGATCAACACTTTCACAGATAAATCAAACTAAAACTGGAATACTCAAACACACGTCAACTTCCTAGACATCACAGTATACATCAGGACTGACAAGCTTCACACCTCTATATACAGGAAACCCACTGACATATGCAGCTACCTCCACAGTTCCAGCTTCCACCCCCAACACACTAAGTCAGGCCATCAGATACCACCGAATATGTTCTGACCGAGAAGACAGAGATAAAATCTCGGGACACTAGCAGACTCCTTCTATAAGAAAGATTACAAGGATAAAACTATCAACACCAGCATAAAAACCCGAAGATAAAATCTACTCCAATACAAAGAGAAAAACAAATAACTGTGTACCTCTAGTAACCACATACAATCCAACACTATAAGGAATAAGAAAAATAATCAAAGATTTACAACTCATCATAACAGAGGATGGAACTCTGAAAGATATATTTCAGCATCCCCCAATACTGGCTGTCAGTCAACCCCCAACCTCAGAAATAAACTAATTAGTAGGAAACTTAATTCTGATTATGATGTCACAAATAATGGAAGCAAACCCTGCAATAAAAAAACGCTGCAATCTGTGCAACCAAATTAATCAAAAAGTGTCAGACATGCAAAAAGGACTTCAATATCACCGGATCATACAGCTGCACCTCCAGAAATGTTGTGTACCTTATCCAGTGCAAAAAATGTAGCAAAGATCTTATGTTGGCGAAACAGAGCAGAAGTTGCAAACAAGGATGAATTTGCACAGACATACCATCAAGGAACATAAAGAAGATGACTTCTGCATACCTATGGGACACCATTTCTCACAACCAAACCTATGGAAGATCTCAACCACTTGCCTGCCGAGCACTTATACCCCCTTCCTACCCAGGCCAGATTTCAGCTTTCAGCACTCTCGCTCTTTGAATGACAATTGCACGTTCATGCAACACTGTACCTATATGAAATTTTTATCATTTTTTCACACAAATAGAGCTTTCTTTCGGTGGTATTTAATTGCCACTGGGTGTTTTATTTTTTGCACTATAAACAAAAAAATAGCAAAAAAATTAAAAAACAAAAAGTTTTTCTTTGTTTCTTTGATAAAATTTAGCAAACAGATAATTTTTCTCCTTCACTGATGTGCGCTGATGAGGCTGCACTGATAGTAAGCACTGATGGGCACTGATGGGCACTGATGAGGTGGCACAGATAGGCAGCACTGATGGGCACTGATAGTAAGCACTGATGAGGTGGCACAGATAGGCAGCACTGATGGGCACTGATAGGCTGCATTGATGGGCATTGATGAGGAGGCACTGATATGCAGCAATTATGGTCACTGATAGGTGGCACTGATGAACACTGATTGGCAACACTGATGGGCGGTATTGACTGACAGCACTGACAGGCAGCACTGCTGGGCACTGATGGGCACAACTGCTGGGCAGCACTGATAGTTGGCACTGCTGGGCACTGGTGAGTGACATTGCTGGGTGGCAATGCAGGGCACTGATCATCAGTGCCAATCTCCTCTGTGACAGCTGCCGGTTATGAGCAGTACTTTCCTCAGGCTATGACAGCGTGAGGAAAGTGCTGCCAATAATCAACAAATGTATTTACTCGGTGATATGCTGTGTCATTGGACACAGTTGATTACGTGGTAAAAGGCCGTTGTGATTGGCCTTTTACCTCATCACGTGATCCGTAGGACACAGCGATCACTGAGATTGCAGGGTGCGTGACCCTGGGGGCATGCGGGGGGGTGCGTTCTGGGAGGTCATCATATGACACCCCCCCCCCCCCCCCCAGAACTGGGTAACTGTGCTGTAGCCGTCATTCGGCTATAGTGCAGTTACCAAGTAGTTAAAGGGAACTTCAAAACTATTTAGGAAAGGAAAACTTTTGAACTAAGAATGATATTTCTATTTGAAAGAAAAGATAACGGCCTTAATTTAGACATGGGATTCCTCAGTCATTATCCAACAGTTCTGCGACCCCTCCTGTGACCCCAGTCTTTGCTTTTGCTCTGTCTTACCTGTAGTCTAATTCTAGTTTTATAATCATTACTGTATACCTTTGTTTGTGTGTGTGTTTTTTTTTTTCCCTCTCAGAGATTGTTTCTTTTAACATCCTGCTAAAACTTTGTGAAGTAGTACTGCCTGGACCTTGAAGAAGGGGACATACCCCGAAAGCTTGTCCTAAAAATTGTATGTCAGTGCAAATAAAAAATGTATCAGGGACAGTACTCAATTGTTTCTGTCGCAAGTGCAATAATACGGATACAATCACCTCAAGCAAATTCGTTCCATAATTTGGATTCAGATGATGAATGGATCCGAATTTCATTCCATTCATTAATTTTGATGCGCTTGACGCCATTCGATATTATCCAGTAAGCTCATGCCATTTCTCTTGGTGGGTTGGACTAACATCTGAAAATATTGACTCCTCCCAATTCTAATTCGTCTGGTTTGATAATATATTGAACATATAGCGATCTTCAGGAAAAATACACCTAGACGAACAAATATATGAAATGAATGCCGAAGTTACGTAATGAATTCGGAAAATGAATAGGTTCAATATAACCTTCTCGAGGGATCAAGAATTAATTTTTTTTCCCTGCAGGAGCAAATTGTATCATGCTTTACTGGGTTTTTATGCCTTCCTCTGGATTAACTGTGGGTATAGGGTTATAACTTTTTTTTTTTTAATGGTTGAACTGGATGGACTTTTGTCTTTTTTTAGCCAGACAAACTATATAACTATGTAACGAATAGTATGAAGAAAAATCCTTCAATAACACCTGAAACAAAATGAAAATTTCCGGCATGCACATGTATTATGCTAACCACAAAGCCACTGTACTGCCACTTCAATAAAAATACTTTTAATTATGTTATAATGAATACAAAGCTACAATATTTTGTACCTTTATATCTGCCTGGAGCTACTATTTTGTAGCCAGTGCCCGGTTTAAAATAAATAAATACAACACTATACCACTGCATTCTGTATTTTTCTTATGTTACAAAATCTATTCACCTGTCTGAAGTGACAATAATTATTGTTCTGATTATTATTATGTGTTCCAGTGATTTTTGTTCTTACTGGGTTATCTAAGTCAGGGTGATCTACCGGTGCTGAAGATGTTTATTATCCTTAATTTGGCTTCTCTCTCAAAAAGGTCAAGAACTTGCTATTTAGGCATAGATACCAAACTGACTTGTAAATGTTACTGATTTATATCTGATAATAATATAGTTCTAGAAATGGGTTGTTTCAATTGAGTATGCAAGAAGAAAGGCTATGAATAGGTTGCAGTCAAAATCTTTGTATGTTATATATAGGAAAAGCAAGGTACAGGTCACATGGCCCCTCAGTAAGCTCTTTAAACTCTTTAACGTAGCTCAGAACAAGTTGATGTTATTAGATTACTGATAATCCATTGTGTGCTCTACTGCTGTGATCCTCACTGTCTACCACTGACAGTCCACAAGAGACCATCCTATGTCTCACAGCTCTGGAGCCAAGACATCTAGCACCCCAGAACATGACATGGCCAAGGGCCACACTGGGGCAAGAAGCAAAGGTGGGGGAGAAGATGGGGGAAAGAAGGGGACAACAGCAAGTCACGAAGGAGACAAAAAGAGCCTAAGCGGAGGAGGAAGCCATGAGAAAAAGAGCCCTCACCACGCTCAGAGTGAAGGACACCATGCCAATGGCAAAGGCCATGAAAAAAAGAGCCCTCATGGAGGGCATGATAATGGGCATTATACCACTGGAAGAGGTCACCACAAGGGCAAAAGGGTCAGTGATACCCAGAGTATCACAACAAAGACATACTCGCCCTTCCTAAATGCCCTCTTCAGCAAGGTAAGTGGAAATGTAGTACAAATTAGAAGTGGGCCTTATTTATCAAAATGTCTGAAAGAAGAAACAGATGTTTTGATCATTAGAAATCAGTTGAAATGTTCTTGGGAATGCCTTTTTAAAGGAAAGTGTCTGGTTCATAGTGACCCGCTGTCATGCTTTCATTGAAGAGCCTATTGCCAATGAGGCGACTTTTATTTTGAAACATTCTTCACACATGAAAACCATTGGCAGAAAATTGATTTAATGACTGCTTTAGAATAGGCATATTCTCAGTAGCAGTTATATGGATGTATCAATGTATTTTCTAGGGCAGAGTAAAAAGTAGTCATAAAATACACAGGGCAGGAATCCCAAGAATCCATTTTGATTTTGCATTTGTAAAGTTATCCAAAGCAAAACATCGCTGCCTTCAGAAATTGCACTTAGCATGATGCAGTTATTTGCCTTACAAAATAATCCTGTATGTTTTCTACTGAATGTCCAGGTAGCATGAATGTTTTAAATGTGTGATCAGGTTGGGACACTGACACATGTTTTTTTTACTTCTTACTGCTTGATATTTATGCGCAAAATAACAGTTTTATGTTGCTCATAAATATCAAGTTAATTTTAAATGTTGCAGAATTTTGTTACAATAATTTGTATTAACTAGACATAGGAAAAGCAATAAAATGAAAATGCAATGTTATGATTCAAGACCTTTTGACTGACTATTGTGGTTCACCTCATAGCGAGTGGCTTATTTATCAGCTTGTGACATCTTGTGAGGTTTAATAAGAATGGACAGCTATTCACATATACAATTCCGTAATGTGTTTTAGGAGCACATCAATGTTCAGAAGAAAACGAGAGTCTGGTTGCTGAAAGAAATTGAGACACTCCTATGGTACATGTTCAGTTTGATTCAGTAAGGAATGCAAAGAAAGGGTTATATTTTTGTTATACATTACTTTGTAACTGAGGTTTCCAGTAACTTTTGGTATATTATGTACAGAGATGGTTCAGGATGATCTCTGATGGGCACAATAATAGCCAACCATTAAATCAAAACTCACTTGTGTGTCTTTAGGATGACCATAGACCAGGGGCTGACTGGCAATGTTTGCCCAATGGGACAAGTACAACCCATAGGCCCACAGTGCAGTGACTTGGCTCCCTTCCCACTCTTCCTCCCATCCCCAATCCTAGGCTGAAGCTCCACTCCAGGTACTTCCAAATGAAACAAACACTAGCGCTCTAATCTTCATGCTACACATATAAAATGGTAACTGTCACTTGGTGAGGTACAGCCCTCTAAAGATGGGGGGAGTCTTGCTAGCAAAAGAAAAAGCTTTGAAAAAGGGAGTTCAACTCCCGAAACACGTCAGTTTTCCTACAGGGCACCATCATCACAGGACTCCAGTTGTGTGACATTGACCCATTTGGCTTCATGTTAGTTTTTTTACATTCGTTTTGTGAGCATCCATTTGTCACGTTTTTAATAAATTCATTTGTAACTATGGTAATATGAGGAGACGAGGAGAGTGTGCCCTTTTGTGTTTGTTGTGCTCACTGGGCAGGTCAGGCTGGACCAACTCTGGGTTCCTGCACTGGCCAGCAAGAGCCAGCCAGAGGCTGCAGGGGGGAACCGGAGCAGCTTGGTTGGGGCTGTGCAGGGGAGAAGAGCCGCTGGTGGGGCATAGTACATCATCCATGCTGGGGGGAGGGGCGCTCTGTCCTCGTCCTCATCCCGCACACGGTAGGACACCAGCGGGTACTTTTTACTCCTCTTCACCAGGAAGCCTTTAGGCATGTCTTGGGCGAAAGCATGAAGCATTTGCCCCTCAGTCCAGTCCACCCCTGCCATAGACATAAGAAGATGGTAGGACATGCATGATTCCCTACTTCTGGCTATACAATAAACATCTCAATCACCTGAGAGCATCTGTGAAAGAAGTGTAAAAAGGTAGAGTAAACAGACACCTATAGCACCTAAACTTAGTACATGTGTTAAAAATCAAGATTAAAAAAATAAATCACAAATGGACAATTTTTTCAACTGTTCAACAATGTGTTCATTTAAGAAAGCCTGTAAAGAGAAAGATATATACAGTGGGGATCGAAAGTTTGGGCACCCCAGCTAAAAATTTGTATTAATGTGCATAAAGAAGCCAAGGAAAGATGGAAAAATCTCCAAAAGGCATCAAATTACAGATTAGACATTCTTATAATATGTCAACAAAAGTTAGATTTTATTTCCATCATTTACACTTTCAAAATAACAGAAAACAAAAAAATGGCGTCTGCAAACGTTTGGGCACCCTGCAGAGTTAATATCTTGTACTGCCCCCTTTGGCAAGTATCACAGCTTGTAAACGCTTTTTGTAGCCAGCCAAGAGTCTTTCAATTCTTGTTTGAGGTATCTTTGCCCATTCTTCCTTACAAAAGTCTTCCAGTTCTTTGAGATTTCTGGGCTGTCTGTCACGCACTGCTCTTTTAAGGTCTATCCATAGATTTTCAATTATGTTGAGGTCAGGAGATTGTGAAGGCCATGGCAAAACCTTCAGCTTACGCCTCTTGATGTAATCCCTTTTTGGATTTCGAGGTGTGTTTAGGATCATTATCCATTTGTAGAAGCCATCCTCTCTTTAACTTTAGCTTTTTCACAGATGGCATCAAGTTACCATCCAAAATTTGCTGAAATTTTATTGAATCCATTTTTCCTTCTACTCGTGAGATGTTCCCTGTGCCACTGGCTGCAACACAACCCCAAAGCGTGATTGATCCAACCCCATGCTTAACAGTTGGACAGAGGTTCTTTTCATTAAATTCTGTGCCCCTTCTTCTCCAAACATACCTTTGCTCATTCCGGCCAAAAAGTTTAACCTCATCGGTCCACAGAACTTGTTTCCAAAATGCATCAGGCTTGTCTATATGTTCATTTGCAAAGTTCAAACGATGATTTTTGTGGTGAGGACGTAGAAGAGGTTTTCTTCTGATGATTCTTCCATGAAGACCATATTTGTACAAGTATCTCTTTATAGTGGAATAGTGTACCACAACTCCAGTGTCTGCCAGATCTTTCTGGAGGGATTGTGCAGTCAAACGTGGGTTTTGAATTGTTTTTTCTCACAATCCTGCGAGCTGTTCTGTCTGATATTTTTCTTGGTCTTCGAGATCTTGCTTTAGCTTCCACTGTTCCTGATGACTGCCATTTCTTAATTACATTCCGAACAGAGGATATTGACATCTGAAAACGCTTTGCTATCTTCTTATAGCCTTCTCCAGCTTTGTGAGCGTCAACTATTTTCAGTTTTAGTTTTCTAGACAACTGCTTAGAAGAACCCATGGTGCGGATTGTTAGGGCAAGGTCAGATGAGTCTGGGCATTTAAAACCTTTGAGATTGACATAACCTGGTCTTCCCAGACAATGAATGAGGACAATCCATGACACTGGCAGGTCTCAGCTTTGCAAAGGGGGCAGTGCATGCTATAAATTCTGCAGGGTGCCCATATTTTTGCAGACGCCATTTTTTTGTTTTCTGTTATTTTGAAAGTGTAAATGATGGAAATAAAATCTAACTTTTGTTGACATATTATAAGAATGTCTAATCTGTAAATTGATACCTTTGAGATTTTTCCATCTTTCCTTGGCTTCTTTATGCACATTAATACAAATTTTTAGCTGGGGTGCCCAAACTTTCGATCCCCACTGTAGGTTTCTATTAATTATCTCTGAACCATTAAGCTAGTTACTTGTTATAGATAGTGACCCAGAAACTGTTGGATGCAAAATACATCTGGTAAACCTCATAAAAGAGCGTCAGTAAACTCATCTACAGGCAGTATCACAAATGTTGCAAAATCACACAACAGGGAAGACAGGAGTAAGTCTTGGTTTTGTTCGCCAACTGAAGTGCAAGACATTTGACAAACCATTGATGAAAGAGAGTTCCTCTGAAACGTTATATAATATGTCTTTCACTGCAATTGGCTGAAGGAGGGAGAGCCCTTTTGAAGCATTATGTAACATTTTTGGAACTTTAGTTGGGTTGAAGAAGGGAGTGCCTCTCTGAAACATTATATAACATTTCTTGCACTTAGGCTGGGGCAAAGGGAGTAGTGCCCCTCTAAAACATTTATATAACATGTCTTTCACTTCAGCTGGGACAAAATAGGGGATGTCCCTTAAAAACATTATATAAAATGACTTCCACTTCAATTGGCATGAAGAAGGGAATGCCCCACCAAAATATTAAATAACTTGTCTTGCGCTTCAGTTGGGATGAAGGACAAAGGAGGGAGTGTCCCTCTTAAACATTATGTAACATATCTTGCACTTCAGTTGAGGCAAAGGGGGGAATGCCCCTCTAAAACATCTGGGATGAAGGAGGAGATGCCCCTCTAAACCATATAACATGTCTTGCACTTCAGTTGGGATGAAGGAGGGAGAGCTCCTCTGTAATATAAATATTATACATAATTTCTTGCACTTAATTTGGAGTGAAGAAAGTAGTGCCCCTCTATAACATTATATAAGATGTTTTCCACTTCAGTTGGGACAAAGGAGAGAATGCCACTCTAAATCATTATTTAACATGCACTACAGTTGGGACCATGGCAGAAGAGCCCATCCTAAATATTAAGTAACATGTCTTGCACTTTAGTTGGGTTGAAGTAAGGAGTGCCCCTCTGAAACATTATATAACATTTCTTACACCTAATTTTGGGCAAAGGAAGTAATGCCCTTCTAAAAAATTATTTAACATGCCTTGTATATCAGGAGAGATGAAGTAGGGATTATCCCTTAAAACATTAAATAACATTTCTTGCACTTCAGCTGGGACCAAGGAGGACATGCCCCTAAAACATTATACACTCACGGGCCACTTTATTAGGTACAACTGTTCAATTGCTTGGTAACACAAATTGGTAATCAGCCAATCACATGGCAGCAACTCCCTGCATTTAGGCATGTACACGTGGTGAATACAACTTGCTGAAGTTAAAACTGAGCATCAGAATGGGGAAGAAAGGGGATATAAGTGACTTTGAACATGGCATGGTTGTTGGTGCCTGTTAGGCTGGTCTGAGTATTTCAAAAACTGCTGATTTACTGGGATTTTTACGCACAACCATCTGTATGGGTTACAGAGAATATCTTGAAAAAGAGAAAATATCCAGTGAGTGTCAGTTGTGTGGACGAAAATGCCTTGTTGATGTCAGAGTACAGTGGGCAGACTGGTTGTTGACACGGTCAGATGGTAGGGTCAGAATTTTGCATAAACAACATGAAAGCATGGATCCATACTGCCTCGTATCCACGGTTCAGGCTGATGGTGGTGGTGTAATGGTGTGGGGGATATTTTCTTGGCACTAGCAAGGTATACCTAATAAAGCGGTCAATGAGTGTATAACATGTCTTGCACTTCAGTTGGAGCAAAGTGGGGAGTGTCCCTCTAAAATATTATATAACATGTCTCCCACTTCAGTTGGGATGAAGGAGGGAGTGTCCCTTTAAATTTTATATAACATGTCTTGCATTTCATTTGGGACGAAGGGGAGAATGCCCCTCGCTAACTTTATATAACATTTCTAGCACTTCAGTTGGGATGAAAGAGGGAATGCCCCTCTAAAACATAGACAGGTTTTGCACTTTAGTTGGGACGAAGGAGAGAGAGCCCCTCTTAAATATTATATAACATGTCTTGCACTTCAGTTGGGATGAAGCATTATACTGTATAACATGTCTTCAACTTCAATTGGGACAAAAGAGGGAATGCCTCTCTAAAGCATTAAACAACATGTCCTGAGCTTCAGCTGGGACAAAGAGGGAATGTCCCTGTAAAACATTAGAGTATATGACAGGTTTTGCACTTTAGTTGGGATGAAGGATAGAGTGCCCCTCTTAAACATTATATAACATGACTTGCACTTCAGCTGGAATGAAGTAGGTAATCTCTGAAAACATTATATAACATGTCTTCCACTTCAGTTGGGTTGAAAGAGGCAAGATTCTTCTAAAACATTTATGTAACATGTTTTCCACTGCATTGGATGAAGGAGGAAATGTCCCTCTAAACATTATATAACACATCTTGCACTTCAGCTGGGATGAAGGAGAGAGTGTCCCCTGATGAATAGAACCAGAATTCACTCAAATATAAACAGAATAGGTTTCACTGTAGTATTATTTCAGAAACTGTTGAAGCCACTAGATCAGCCTGACAACTAGGCAACTAGTGGTTTTCAGAAGAAGAGGGCAGCAGTGATACAACAGCAGAGGCTTTAATTAAATGTATTTTATCTTCTCCATTAAAAACAGTTCCTACTGGTTCTTTGCAAACATTTTAATATTCAGGTGATAACTGACCTTTATAAGAAGGTTTATTATAAGTAAATAATAACAAAAACTCCAGCAGCAACTATTTTGATCTGTTCCCACAATCCATTAGGTTCTAATTTGTAGTGGCTCTCCAAAGAAACCAGGCTACCATATAAAGCATATGAGCTTTCATCTCCACAGTTCTAAAGTCAAAACCATGTAGGCCCTTTTCCATTTTTATTCTAGCCAATATATCCTTCAAAGCAAGTGGGTACCTCAAGAGGGGTTGCATAAGAAGATATCCCTATAAAATTCTCCTCGCTACTGTTGAACCCAAAGGTGGTAAAGGTAATGTGGGAGAGTTTACATGAATCAACCTTTTACAGGGTAGAAAAGTAAAAAGATGAAAAAGATATCCTTCTTGTTCCTGATAGCACTGAGCTTGTTCGATTTTTTGCGAGATGTCTTTTTAGACCAGCAACAAATTTCAGTTTGCTGAATCTTTGTGGTTTATCATGCAACATGGAACCTCTAGTTCTTAGCTAATTTTGTCTTATTTATAACATGCCTAGAGTTACACTCACCAGCCCTGATTTTTTCACCTTTTTAAGCCAATTATTTAATTCTCCTTGATTTATATTCAGACAGTGAAGTAAAGCCAATCTCCAACTAAATTTTTATTTTTTGTTTTGGATAGACTTAGGAAGTTTTTAATGTGTTGTAATCCCATTCAGAAAACCTTGCCGCTTTTCCTCTCCCTGTGAAAGCAGGACAAGAAATGAGGGGAGCGGTTGTCAATAGAATAAAATCTAACCCTTTACAAGTCTTTTAAAAATGTTTTGTCCTAGGCTGAGTGTTAAATTGTAATGCACCTTGATTTCTATTAAAAAGAACCTACGTGCTGGATCCTACTTATTGTTGCTGCATACATCAACATACATTTAATATTTTATTTATTTTTTAACATAACATAATAAATCTAAATACACTAGTACTTTTTTTTTTTATATACGCCCCAAATAATAGCACACTGACATATCCTTATCTGCCCTGAAAGACAGAACAGTTGTTATACAAACTTTGACATCTTATAAACCTGAGATCTGCTCTGGTCATGTGGTTTATGCCAGATAGATATGACGTTTACTCTTAAAAATCAAACGTTAACTCTCATTTTCTTTCATATCCTATCTAGGAGAGAGATTTGTCTCCAGAGGAGATGGATGGTGAGTCTTTTGCTGTTGGTATTTATCCAAAAGCAGCCGATTAGGTTGTTACGTAACTTGGTTACAGCATGGATTTGCAGTGATTCTGGGTATTTGCTCACTTCTGTTATCCAAGATAAGTAAAGGCAAAGTAGGGTCAAAGTATTACACATATAGGATCTGTTATCCGTCCAGAAGCCCATTATCCCATTGCTGATTTTCAATACAGATGCCTCATTAACAATATTGGACTAATTAAAAAGGCAAAGGATGATCTACTGGAAACAACAACAGTTAGGAAGGCTTAATTTTAGCAATGACATACACGTAGCCATTGGAGCATTTTTTTTTAACAGCATACAAAGGTAATACCATGGTTCTTTGAAGGTTGCTAGGGGTTCTTTGAGTAGTGAATGATCTCCAGCCCAAAGTGCCTACAAACTTCTATCACCAAAGTAATTCAGCAGAGCCAACAGGGTGGAACTGATGCAGCCTCTCCTCTTGTCTCAAGCATTAACCACCAATACCAATGATCTATTAAGCTGTTTGTAGGAGAAACATTCTTTCCGCTAACCACTAATGTAAGGAGTATTTGTCCCACTGATCACTAATCTAACTTTGCTCCTGCAGGGAAAAAAATTCCTTCCTGATCCCCTGGGAGGCAATTGGATATCCCCTGGGTCAACTTTACCTATAAATGTTAGTATCCAGTTATATTCTGTGTATCTAAGAAAGAATCCAGGCCTTTTTTAAAGCAATCCACTGAGCTGGCCAGAACCAACTTTTGAGGGAGTCTATTCCACATTTTCACAGATTTTACTGTGAAGAAGCCTTTCCATGTTTGGAGATTAAATTTCTTTTCCTCAAGACATAAAGAGCGCCACTTGTCCTCTGTGATGACCTCAGGGTGAATATCTCTACACTGAGTTCACTATATGAACCACTGATGTATTTATACTTGTTGATCATATCCCCCCCTAATCTCCTCTTCTCAAGAGAGAATAAATTCAGTGATTCGTTGATTACTATATTTTATAGTTTACTGATCACACTATTTCAAAATGAACTGTAGTTGTAATAATTTTCCCTGAGAACTTCAGGTATATTTATAAAGCAGCAAAAGTGGCCTTCACTAAAGATTCGCTGCAAGTGTATCGTCTGGGTGCATGTGTTTTAAATTACAGTGACTGATTCCTTTTAAGGTCATTTCAAAAGGACAAGGGGACAATCTTTGTGACAGGAGGAAAAGAGATTTAACCTTGGCATGTGGAAAGGTCTTTTCACAGTAAATAGCTGTGAAAATGTGGAATATACTCCTTCGAGAACTAGTTCTAGCCAGCTTGTTTTAAAAAATGTTGGATGCATTTCTAAATGCACAAAATATAACTGGGTACTAATATTCACAAGTAATAACAACACAGATGGTTGATCCAGAGAATATCCAATTGCCCTAAGGGATCAGAATTTTTTTTACCCCCTGGTCAAGTAATTGGTTCATGTTTTAAGGTTTTTTTTCTTCTTCTGAATCAACGTTCGGTATAGGGTTATGAATATAGAGGTTTTCAATTTCTCTGGTTATCCACTTTTGTACCAACATTTTTCATCAACAGATCAGAGTCCCTATATTTACCCAGTGGCATTTATGAGCAGCACTTGCTAAATAGGCTTAGGGTGGCCAATCCAGTCCTCCTAGATTGCAAGCTCCAAGGAGCAGGGCCCCCCTATCCCTCTTGTATTGAACTGTATTGTTGCTGTATTGTCTCCCTTTATATTGTAAAGCGCTGAGAAAACTGTTGGCGCTATATAAATCCTGTATGTTAATAATAATTAGACAACCAAGTACACAGAGACACTCTACCCAGCCAATCCAAAAGACCGGGTACCATGAGATCACCTTGAATGGTCATCACAGCAATCACATGGTACTATTTAAAGCGCTGCTCCCTCCCTTTCGCTTTACAACAGGGGAAGGAGAGAGATTGTGTATTTATGAATGGGGATAGAATGGCAACCTCAGATTCATTCATTCAGTCACCATGTGAACTGTATATTAACCCCCTTCACCTCCCTTATCCTACCCAAGTGAACAATAACTCCTTTCTCTCTACGATGCTACTGTATGTGTCCAGTACATTAATCCCTTTATGTCTTCCTTCCTCTGTGTATGAACTGTTTAATAATGTATCTGGTGCACCATTTTCAAGCTTCCTGTTTAGCACCCTCAGTACAGGCATGTTTCTTTATTTCCAAAAATTGTCAGCAAAAATTAGATCACCTTGGAGTGTCTACTTTCCAAAAAAGGGTCATTATGGGCATTTTCATAGTATTCTGCAATTTGTATTGTAACAGATATAAGGGAAACACTTTTTTTTTTTTTTATAGAAAACAAAAGTGGTTATTAAGTACCACCAAAAGAAAGCTCTATCTTAAAAAAAATTATGTAAAATTCCTTTGGGTACAGTGTAGCACGATGGAGTAATTGTCAGTTATCACAGCCCTGAAAACTGAGAAACGTCCTGGTAATGAAGGGGTATTACAGGCTGGTACTCAAGTGGTTAAACTAGATGAACTAAACTATTGTATGCGTAGCACTATTCTTCCATGTACCCTAGGCTACCCACTGGCCAGTGGGTAAAGCTGCTACAGATATTGCTGGCGATGAGGTCCTTGGAACTCAACAGTGGAGCACTCAACCTCCCAGTGAAGATATTTTCCCACAAGAGTATCTTTGCAAAGTGTCCCAAACAACTGACAGTGAGAGGGTGAAGTGGTCCTTTTTAAATAAAGTTTCACCAAATCAGTCTTGCCCTCAAACAGGTGTATGCAAAGTTCAACACATAGAAGGGTGGTCAAGGGCCACTCACCAATATGACATCCAACAAAAGAGTGCCTGGATACAGTCCAAACTCCAACAACTGCTCTGCAGGCTGCATGGAGGAGGATGGGAGGCTAGCCTCCTGGTACGTTTTCCTTAAAGCTTGTCTCTTTCTTAGTCTATACAGGAGCTGTCCTAACACATAGGTGCTGCAAACAGTAATTGTGTCTCAGCTAACTGCTTGGAAGGCTTAATCTGTAGTCTATCCTTCTCTTCTATGAAACTCTTCCTATATCAGTCAAAAGTTGTAAACATGACGCAACCATTAAGTTAAGCAAGGTTTAGTATATCTAATATGTAAATATTATTTATGTATTTTTATACCCATTTTATTCTTTTATTCTCAGAATTATATGCTGCCTTTTTGGAATTTGATGCAGACCAAGATGGCTTTATCGGTTATAAAGAGTTGGGTGAATGTATGAGGACGATGGGTTACATGCCAACTGAGATGGAACTAATTGAGATTTCCCAGCACATAAAGATGAGAAGTGAGTAATCTACTTTCCCACATTGCAACAAAAAGCAATTATAAAAATAATTGATAATTGTTTTAAAGCTTCAGAAGGCTATAGAATTTTAAATTATTTAAATTGACGTGGATGAAATGTTTTTGTTTCGTATGGAACTGGAAAGGTTAGAACTAAAACAAGCAATAAAAACCTTGGCATGGTTTTCTAAATCTTCCTCACTCTACTGTACAGTGTGTTTTTATCGCTGTCTGTGTCCATTTCTGGGGGATTTCCATTGAGGTCATGTATGGTCTGATATCTGTAATATAGATAAGAAATTGCGAGAAATCTCCTAAATAAGGACACTGACAACAATACAAAGTTGTGAATGTTTAAAGCTGAACTGCGAGCAGAGATAAGACACAAAATAATTGCAGCTCCGTATTTATTAATAAATATTTAAACTTATTTTGTAAATAGTAGTGAAAGTACCTAAATTTAATTGGTATCATCCTCTTGCAATTCTTGCATACCTTGCACTGGGAAAGAAAGTAGCAGCACAATGGGCTATTCACTCACTCATTCACTCCAGTGAGACACGTTAATAGGAGGAGAAAGCAGAGAGATGAGCTCATCAGTCAGCTGCTTTTCCTTTCAATGTCCAGTCACAAGCTGGGAGTAGGGAGGATATCTTTATGTGATAGTGAACTGCAGCAGAGAAAAAAAAAAAGCAGTGCCACAATGTTGTCATTGATTTTAACATAAAGTACACCTAAATCAATGACAGGTAGCAAGAGAGCTGTTAGCATAGTTGGTACATTACTAGGAACCAGTGCTGTGAGTACAAGTTATTAGGGGGCAGCACTGCTGGGAATAACTGTAAACTATATTTTCCATCTAACTACACTGTCCTCAGTTGCTTAACGGTCTTTTCAACATCTCAGATCTCAGGACCTTAGTGTAAATTTGAAACCCTCCCATGACTATACCAACAAGTGCTGAAAGAGGTGGTGTAATACAAACTAATATAAACCCTGGCTGTTTGCAGTACTACAAACCTCATCTGCCTTATCAGATGTTAGCAGAGAAGACAATTTGATATTTTTTCACATCCTTAAGAAGATATAATTCAGCATACAACTGAGCTGTAATAGAAGCCTGAAAGGAAAAAAAATCTACACCACTAAGACAGCCAAACAAAACAGCTACAGCATGGGGGTTCTGTAACTAGTAACTCTGCATCTAAGGTCAGCTCTGACTTCACAAATTAACTTGTATCAACAGCCTCCCTACTGGGGCCAAGCTTCCAGGCCATTAGACCCCTGATGTCTCATTTGTATCCATCACATACAGATTAAGGACAAAAAAAAGGAAGAAAAGGAAGTGCCTTCTAAGTGCAGTTTTTTAATGTAAAAATGTATTAGACCACAGTTAAAAACACTGCAGAAATGAATCCTTCATCACAACACAAAGAGGAGGGGATACAGAGCGCCCATTCAACCAAGTCCCGCAGGACCTGCCAGCCAGAGTGTTTGTCAGCTGTAAATGTAGAGGAGAGCTCCAGGACACTTGTCTCGGAAACCGGAAGTTCCTGGAACAAACTAAAGGTGCACTTGTGGGTGGATGGGACGTCACGGAAGGGACGTCACAGAAGGGACACGTTACACACACTGAGCTAACTGCTCCTTTTAAAGGCTTGGGGGTGTGTTGCAATATACCTAATTTACAGGGGCCTAGGAGCTGGAGGACTAGACTGCCCAGCGGACCTACTGTCATTATAGTAATAAACAAATCTATATGTATGCTACACTATATTGCCCAAAGTATTGGGACACCTGCCTTTTCACGCACATGAACTTTAGTGGCATCCCAGTCTTAGTCCGTAGGGTTCAATATTGAGTTGGCCCACCCTTTGCAGCTATAACAGCTTCAACTCTTCTAGGAAGGCTGTCCACACGGTTTAGGAGTGTGTCTATGGGAATGTTTGACCTTTCTTCCAGAAGTGCATTTGTGAGGTCAGGCACTGATATCTGATGAGAAAGCCTGGTTCACAGCCTCCGCTCTAATTCATCCCAAAGGTGCTGTCTTGGGTTGAGGTCAGGACTTTCTGCACTGGTGCGCAGTCATGTTGGAACATGAAGGGACCATCCCCAAACTCTTCCCACAAAGTTGGGAGCATGAAATTGTCCAAAATGTCTTGGTATACTGATACCTTAAGAGTTTCTTTTACTGGAACTAAGGGACAAGCCCAACCCCTGAAAATCAACCCCACACCATAATACCCCCTCCACCAAATTTTACACTTGGCACAATGCAGTCAGGCAAGTACTGTTCTCCTGGCAACCGCCAAACCCAAACATGTCCATCCGATTTCCAGAAAAGTGTGATTCGTCACTCCAGAGAACATATCTCCACTGCTCTAGAGTCTAGTGGCAGCGTGCTTTATACCACTGCATCCAACGCTTTGCATTGCACTCAGTTATTTAAGGCTTGGATGCAGCTGCTCAGCCATGGAAACCCATTTCACGAAGCTCTCTACACACTGTTGTGCTAATCTGAAGGCCACACAAACTTTGGAGGTATTTAGCTATTGACTTTGCAGACAGTTGGCGACTTCTGTGCACAGTGCGCTTTACCATGCGCTGACCCTGCTTTGTCATTTTATGTGGCCTATCACTTTGTGGCTGAGTTGCTGTCGTTCCCAGTTGCTTCCACTTGGTTATAATACTAATATAATAGGAACAGAAACACCTGAATCCAATAATCTAGAGGGGTGTCCCAATACTTTTGGCAAGGTAGTGTATGTATGATATTTATAGATTAAAAATAATATAAAAAAAAATGTATTTAATCTTAAAAAAAAAGAATTAAAAATTTTCTGCAAGATACTGAAAGCAAAGAATAATGAATAAAAAAATAAAAATAAATTATATATATCAAAAAACATTTTTGATGTGAAAGGAGAATTTTTAAAAACAGACAACAGATGGGGGCAAGAGTAAAAGCAATGGTGTCAATCACACCAGGTTTTTAAAGTCCAAAAAGACCATGTAGGTCAATGTAGAAAACGTCCACTAGGAGGCAGCTCGTAGGTTAGAGCAGGGGATCACTCTGAAAGGTAAAACCAAGGGGAAAGAGAGAACAAGCGCCATCTAGGTGTAGTATTGAAATCAACATTTTAATGTTCACAAAAGTAATACACTCACAAAAGGAGACATAATAGGGTATGTAGCACCGAGTAAATAGTTGTCATCAGTTCCGGGGGGGCCAGATGGACATGGCTGTGTGAATGCTTTTGGGCTTCCAGAACTGCCGCTTGTGGTATTTAGGACCACATGGACATTTAAGGACTTCTTTATACTGATCTTAGAAAGGATTATAAAGCCCTTTTGTGCGCATACATTTTTTCCTTTTTATAGACAGAGAACAGAGTCTCTGATCTGTATTTGATCCAGCTCAGAACAGCTGAGAACCTGTTAGTACTTGTGGTCGGAAGCTTTCACTTCCTGGGCATGTGATAATTTAGGAGTATGTGTAATCTATGAGCACATGGAATGACAACAAAGAGGGGGAGAAGCAGACACAAAGAAGTGTAACACTGATAAGGGCACCAAGAAATGTATGCAAGGGTGTGCAATAAGAAGAAGCGCAGAGAAAGATAGCGCACTAGCCCTAAAAGTTTAAAGTTGATTTTTGCAGGATGCTGTAGCAAACTAGCTCAACAGAGTTGGACGCGGAGCTCCCCTTTTCCTTTTCTTTTAGTGGATGTATTCCTCAGCCCTCATTCCCTACCCCCCTCCCTTCCTGAGAGGCAAACGTTATCTCCTGAGTGACAGATGGTGGGGGGTCAACACAGGCTAGGCATTCCTAGTTTGGTACCAGCCGTCTGTGTAAGTGTAACCTTTCTCCCCATCGTAATCAAGATAAGATAGCTTTTCTCCTGGACTTGAAAGTTAATTGAACATTCCTCAGGTCAACTGTGTGTTTCATATCATGAGGTATGAAGCTGTTAGTTTTAACTGAGAGTCCACTGACATTCTGCCCAACATATTGTATTGGGCAGACTCAAGGCCACCCCCCCTGGCAGAGGGATTTTTAAAAAAAAAACAGGCTGCAAGCCTGAAGGCTAGTTTTGTACACAGATCTCCCAGCTAACATCGAAGGAGGAGATAAAGAATCATCCTGCTCTGCAACTTGGATCTGCAAACCCAGGCTACGAGCAAGTAACTTAACCCTGTAATCTTCTTTCTATTATCTCTGCTGTGTCTTTATATACATATATATATATTTTTGTGACATCTCTTTGTAAATATTTTATTGCACCTGTTTATCACTTTCAGAAAGAAAGCTTTATTACTAAAAGAGTCAAACTGTTTTTAAGTGCTTACCTGCAATTCACGAATTCCTGCCTTTTGAAGAGACGCTACTGTGTTTGTTTACTCCCTGCCCAATTGGCCTGTAGTTGACCATATTGGACAGGTGACTTTTCAATCATTATAGTGTATTTCTGACAGAGTTTTCTATGTACCAAAGACGGTGGTGGCAGTTTGAAAGGGTTAGTTGCGTAATTAACCCAACCCAGTAACAAGCGCATTCAGGCTGCAGGCACCAATTGTGGCCCATTAGCTGGACAATCGCTGTGCAGGGTGCAGCTGGGTGTGGCCTTGTTACGCGCGTCACACCGCGTTTTTAGATCGGCCGGTCCTGCGGGCACGAGTTTGGTGAGAACGTCTGGGGTCTGGACGTATTATGTTAGTCGCGGTCATGCGATTGTCGCATGTTGGTGACGGCTACCGTGAGACCGTGAAAGATGCTTCCATTTTTTAAAACAGAAAACTAGAGGTGCTCTTCAGCAAAGAGGAGCTGGGGGGGAGGGTGGGTGTGATCTGAAAGGAGAGGAAAAAAGAGAGGAAGAAGGGAGTACACTTGCTGAGAGCAACAAGCCCTTCACTTTTTATAAAAAGGATATAGGTAGGAAAGTTATGGGTATTGGAGGGCCATTTCACAACTCGTATGGATACTAGGAATTAAGATGTGTGTGCTGGGGCCAGAGATAGAGAAGGACCTTTGGGTGAGCTGGACTTGAAATCAAATTCTCTTATGTGAAAGTGGCACTTTGCATTAACACTATTTATCACTTGCATTTTGTAGAGAAGAGAATGGTTAAATCCAGTCAGGTTTTTTTGGCCATCTGTGTACCCAGTTTTACTTTGCACCAGTGGGTAACAGGTATAGTGAGTCTAAACAGTGGGAATTGGGAAACTAAGTGAACCAGTCTCTACTGGTAATGATGTCATCTCTGACGAAATGCATAGGAAAAATCCAGAGGTTGTGACATCACTGCGCATGCATCTTTATCGCTACTTGAAATTCTGAGAGTTGTACTCTGATGAATCATGCTGTATACAGCCTTTATATTGACTGCCGGAGGACAGGAGAGGAATGTAGTGGAGCTTTATTCCAGTGACCACTGAGCTTATACAAACCAGGTGCTGTCTGACTTTTCAGCTTGAGAGTCACATATTTTCTGGTAAGTCTTCTATGTATCACATGTTGGAGAGGTTGAAGATTTTGTTTGATGTCACAACCTATTGCCTTCTTTTGGAACTAAAGATTCTTAAGAATCTATGGTTTTGAAAATACTTAACTACTGCACTTTGTTATAAATACTTTGAGAACACATTTAATACGTTTTGTTGAATATATTGCCTAACAGTATCACTCTCGGAAGTAGCACAGCATTTTTAACCACTTCCAGACCGGACACTTTTACCCCCTTCCTGACCAGGGCAATTTTCAGCTTTCAGCGCTATCACACTTTGAATGACAATTGCGTGGTCATGCAACACTGTACCCAAATGAATTTTTGACCATTTTTTTGAGACAGATAAAGCTTTATTTTGGTGGTATTTATTTACCGCTGGGATTTAAATTGTTTTTGCTATGTAAATGAAAATGTCCAAAAATTCGGAAAAAAAGTGTTTTTTTAAATTAAATTTTGCAAATAAATAATATTTCATCATAAATCTTGGGCAATTTATTCCGTTATCTTTTTAGTAAAAAAAAAAAAAAATCCAAATTAGTTTATAAACAAAAATTATAATTTTTAAACATTTTTTTTTACATTTTTTATTTTTATTTTTTATTTTTTTTTTACATACTGTCACCCTAGCAGTACAGTGTCACCATGGTGACACTGTACTACTTGTGGGGGGTGATGAAGATTTTATTTTTTACACTGATTGCTTTTACACCCATATAGGATGTAAAAAGCAATCATTTCTCTTTCTCTCTGTCTGCATTCTTGCAGTCATTGAGAAGTACTGAGTCAGCTGTGATTGGTCACAGCTTGTCACATGGTACAAGGCTGTTGTGAATAGCCTTGTACCATGTGACCTCTGTGATCATTCACAGATTTCACACGTAGTAAGCAATGATGTCACAAGTGACATCTTTCTTACTACTTTGCATGTGATTACTGATTGGCCAATCAGTGATCACATGATCGGGACCTCGTACAGAGGTCCCATCCGACGATCGGTGTTTCACTGTGTCTGGAGGACATAGTGGGCATGGGATCGCGGTGCTGCACACTCCCAGGGAGCGCGCACAAGCAGGGTGCGGGGAGGCCATTTATAAACGGCCACCCAACCCTGTACTGCCACCGTCCGGCCGTTTATATAGCACGGCTGGTCCGGAAGTGGTTAATATTGGTTGAACCTGTTTGTTTGCCTGGCTTAGGCCAAGCAAAGGTTCACTTTAAAACTGAAATATTGCACAGTACTGGGCTATAAATAATGCACATAAAAAAGCGGATTGCAGCTTCATCTTGATAGTATGCATGTCTTCAAACACATTTTATATATATATATATATATATATATATATATATATATATATCTGTCTGCTTTAAGTGTTATGACAGATTCTGTTCTATTATAGTGGGAGGTCGTGTTGACTTTGAGGATTTTGTAGAGCTCATTGGTCCAAAGATGCTAGCAGAAACAGAAAACATGGTGGGTGTGAGAGAACTGAAGATTGCCTTCAAAGAAGTAAGTTTTGCAGATCACACAATTCTTAAAACTGAATTCTAGCCTTTAATTTTGAACACTTGAACAGGCTCCTCCCCTGTACTGAAATTGATTACTCTGACTGCACTGAAATACTGTGAGCTTCTTATAGTGTGCAGTAGAAGCTGCGGCAAGTTAGATAGAGCCTGCCTCATTTTCTGGCTGGAGGATGATCAGCCTCTCCCTCCTTTTCATTTATGACTCTGACTTTTGCATATATGGTCAGTTGACATCTCCTATGGCTGGAATTGTGATTTGATACACCTGTTTCTAGGTTTTTGAGTATGTTTTTGTCTTTTGGATCCAATGAACATTGGTAATGGGAATGCACTAGGCATTTGCACCATCCTGTGTGTTTTTACAGTGGGCCTTTAATCCAGAGGAGGTCCTTGTGCATTATTATGGTAAAATAATTATTGGCTCCAAAAAGGCAATAAGATAAATCTCAAATGCATTTTGAAAAAGTAACTTATTAACCTGTATATTGTTTTTTTGAGAAAAACATACCATACCTGCTGGAACCAGTTGCTATGTAAAACGATTCGATAACTTACTATATAGACACAGCTGAACAATAAACCTCTTAGGTCTTTTAGGTGACCTTAAAGGCTAAATTCACCTTTATAAAAAGGATAATAATATAAAATTTTTTAGAGCAAAAAATGTGCCTTAAGTATTTTTCACAAGTGCCTGCAAAGCATTGCACCCTCGATCAGTGGATTGCGGGTGCAATGTCAGGCTCCTGCAGACTTGTTCCACCTGCTCCCTGCCTGTACCTCGGTGCAGACTTTCAGTTGAAGAGCTGGAGGAAGTATCAATAGACTACAAGTTTGCAGATTAGGGCACTTGTATTTCATTGAGATCTACAAGTTCATTGACTGTGGTGGCAGATGGGACTTTTATTTTTTCATTCATAGATTTGTGTGAATGAATGACGCAGCACTGATTTAAAATGTTACAGCTTCTGTGGTGAAGAACCCCTGCATGCCAGCATGCTTTGGGGTGGGTTTGGTAACATGTTGCACCCTAAATAACAGTGTAACATGTAAATGTTGCCAAAGGTGGGGTTAGCCTTTAAATTTAACAACTGTGCACTAGATATTTATACAAACCATTTGTATATGGTGGTATCCCCTTTCTCAATAAACTTTTGACCTGTAACAGACCGTCTCTAATCTCACTGGACCTTCAAAATCCTTGTCTCCCTCACCCATCTGAATTTGTGAAACCCTCTTATAATGGTAGCAATAGGCTGGTGAAGCTGAGAACTTCACTGCAGAGACCTCTCCCTAAAGGTATCCAAACGTATACATACAGTATAAGGAGCTAATGGATAGTGTGACCATACAGTGGGGCAAAAAAGTATTTAGTCAGCCACCAATTGTGCAAGTTCTCCCACCTAAAAAGATGAGAGAGGCCTGTAATTGACATCATAGGTAGACCTCAACTATGAGAGACAAAATGAGGAAAAAAATCCAGACAATTACATTGGCTGATTTGGAAAGAATTTATTTGCAAATTATGGTGGAAAAAAGTATTTGGTCAATATCAAAAGTTCATCTCAATACTTTGTTATATATCTTTTGTTGGCAAAGACAGAGGTCAAACATTTCCTGTAAGTCTTCACAAGGTTGGCACACACTGTTGCTGGTATGTTTGCCCATTCCTCTGAGGTCTACCTATGATGCCAATTACAGGCCTCTCTCATCTTTTTAAGTGGGAGAACTTGCACAATTGGTGGCTGACTAAATACTTTTTTGCCCCACTGTATAAGATCTACTCAAACTAAAATACATGAAAAAAAAGGTAGGGGAAAAAAAAGTAAAGTGGAGTTCAAGTGCATGGCCATTAATTGACAGGCTGAGCTCTTATCTGTCATCACAAACTATTAGAGAAGTCTAGCTAAACCTAAAAATGTGTTACAGTAATAACAAAAGTTATACCATTTTTCTGAAATGTCTTTATTCCAGTTTGATATGAATGGAGATGGCCATATCAGTGGACTAGAACTCAGTGATGCTGCACAGAGTTTCTTAGGAGAACAGCTTAATCCCAGTGAAGTTCAGGAGATCATCCATGATGTAGACCTCAACGGAGATGGCAGAGTTGACTTTGACGGTAAGCAACTGACATATGACCACAACAGACCTGATGCAATTTTCAATGAAAAACGAGTGGAACGAGTCTGACCGTTGCTGGGTTTCTCACTGGGTTCTCATGAGGTTGTTGCCTGATCCAGTAAGATTATTCAATTGTCATCTCATGTATGAACCACCTGAAAACCTTACCTAGCATCACAGATAAATGACAGTGATTTCCTTTTTCAGAGTTCGTTATGATGCTTTCGTCAAGATAACACCGGCTGAATTTACAGAAGTCAAGCAGCTTCTAATGACACTGAATGTCCACCATGTATAGCACTCAATGTTTGTAATAAAACCTCTATTTACCAATTAAACAGTTACGTACAAATAAAAAATTATTAAATTAAAAAGGCAAAATCTTATGACGGAAAACACAAAACAAAACAAAAAAAAATTTACATATAGTCACAGACATGTTAGCTACGGAGGTGGAAACACTTGGGATGGGTGCAGTTCTCAGTTTAGTCTCTTAGTGAATGAGATCCCAAGAGAGGCAAGATCATAAGCAAAGTATTGCCACCTGGTGGTCTGCCCCCATGGCATTTTTTAGAGTCCTTAGTGGTTTCCATAGTGTTTTTTGGCATTCAGTGTGCAATAAGACATCCATGGCGTCAATTCACTTATCAAAATATGGGAGGTAGAAGAACTGGAAACCATGTCGCCCTCGTACGGCACAGTAGATAAATATTACGTGGTACACTGCAAAAATTAGAGAAGGTAATATTAAGACAGTAACCGTTTTTTCCATATAAAAATAATGCAATATATGCTCGGCATTAAAGCCCACCCACTGAGAGGCCGCATGCATACCTCCTGCGGGAAGTGGTTAACAAAAATGATACAATACAATTTACACTCATCGGTCACTTTATTAGGTACACCCAGGGGCGGACGGACCATTTGGAAACTCGGGCACTGCCCGAGGGCCCGGGGTCAGTAGGGGGCCCCATGAGAAGCCCCTGGTACCTTTTTCATAGGCTTTTTTGAGTTTGGGCAAGGACACAGGGGCCCCATGAGTTGTCAGTCCACCCCTGGGTACACCTGTGCAATTGCTTGGTAACGCAAATTACTAAATCAGCCAATCACATGGCAGCAACTCAATGCATTTAGGTGTCTAGATGTGGTGAAGACTACTTACTGAAGTTCAAACTAAGCATCAGAATGAGGGGAAAAAAAAAAAAAAAAAAAGGGATTTAAGTGACTTTGAATGTGGCATGGCTGTTGGTGCCATACGGGCTGGTCTGAGTATTTCAAAAACTGCTACTGGGATTTTCACGCACAACCATGTCTAGGGTTTACAGAGAATAATCTGAAAAAGAGAAAATATCCAGTGAGCAGCAGTTTATGTGGACGAAAATGCCTTGTTGGTGTCAGAGGTCACAGTAGAATGGGCAGACTGGTTGCTGCGACTTTCAGATGCTAGGGTCAGAATTTGGCGTAAACAACATGAAAATATCGATCCATCCTGCCTGTGTAAGGTGTAACTAATCAAGTCACCGGTGTATTCTGTAAAACCATCAACAACAATCATTCTATTTTAGTCTGCAGCCAACCATGGCAAAAGTACTGCATAAGGCTCCATGCACACTGGGCGTTTTGATAATGCTGGTAATGTTAGCTGTGTAAAGACACATTAAAAACGCAAGTTTTTGAGCTTTTTTGCAGTAGCGTTTAGTAGTGTTTTGCCGCGTTTGCATTTTTCGGTAAAAAAAAAAAAAGCCAGTTTGCAGGATTTTACCACGTTTTTGTGTTAGCGTTTTGCCACTTTTGCATTTTATTTAGAGTTTTTTTGACCCCCCCCCCAAAAAATTATTTCTTTTAGTCAAAAAAGTCCAAAAACGCTGGTTTGCCACATTTTGCTGTGTTTTTCTGCGTTAGAGTGTTTTTACAGCTAAAAAACCACTAGTCCTGGATTTTTTTTCCAGCCAAAAAATGTTGATTACAGTCTGTGTGCATGGACACATAGGATAACATGCTGGGGAGTTTACTGGCTGTAGAAAAAATGCCAAAAGCCAAAAACAGCTGCTGTAAAAACATCCAGTGTGCATGAGGGCTAAAAAGGGATGGTCTAATAAATCCCCAGCACTGAACGCTATATGCAGGGCTTCCTATTACAACAATGGGACTGAATATTCTTACAAAAATAAATATGCAGCCCTCCCACTTCTCAGTCACTGCAAGTACAGTGACATGACCTACTCCAATATCCAGAACAGAAGCAGGCAGGAGTCTGTAGTCAAGTTTTGTATAGAGCCAGGGGCGGACAACTCATGGGGCCCCCGGGCAGTAGGGGATCATGGGGCCCGTGTCCTTGTCCACACTCAAAACCACACCCAAAAAAGCCTATGAAAGGTACCAGAGACAACTCATGGGGCCCCCTACTGAACCTGGGCCCTCGGGCAGTGCCCGAGTGCCGAAATGGTCAGTCTGCCGCTGTATAGAGCTGAACTGGAGGGGAGCATTTCCCTTTTAAAAAAAACAAACTAGAGGTTCTCTTTAAAAAGCCATTAAATTCCATAATCTCCCCAAACTGATGTAAACAAGATTTTAAAAATATGGTATTTCATATACTTTTGAATGAAAGTTTAAGGCCTCTTTTACATGGGTCGGACCGGTCAGCGGATCTGCTTGCTTAGAGGGGGATCTGTGTGCTGATCCCCACTGAGCAAACGGATGACAGGTTCATGTCAGCTCCGCTTGTGCACACAGCCTAATGTGTCAGTCGGATGGAAACTGATTGCCTGTCTGTTTTCATCCGATCCGATGAACGGAAGGGGAACGGATCCCCATCTGTCTTTTTGGTGGCTCGGATCGGATGTCGGAGGGTGTAAACAGACACGTCTGTTTACACCTGCCACTCTATAGAAGAGAATGGAGGTTCCTGATTGGAACGTCTGTGTGAAAAGGGTCTATATCCACTTAAAGTAGTTGTAAACCATACACATACCCAGTGACGTAACAAGCCTCAGATGATACACAGAAATTAAACAAATCCTCCTAATAAGTTATACCTGTTTATCTGTAGCCTTCTACAAGTGTTCAATGTGCAGAATTTATACAGCTTGTCTGAGTTTCTGCAAAGCAGGGGGAGGGGAGCTGAAGGCACACTCTGCAGAGTTTAGTGGGAGCTGACTTGAGGGAAGGGACACAACCTCCTTCACACAGCTCAAAGGAACAGAGATGAGGCTGTCAATGATAGGCTGTGTCCTGGAGCTCCCTCCCCTGTCACCTTTTTACCTCGGTGTCAGGAAAACTTTTCATAGGAGATTCATGCAGATAGCAGAGGAACGAGGCAACAGAGAGAAATGACACGCTGGATTAAGACAAGTACATAATATAGAAGAATATGCTTTGTTGATATTTCATGTCTGAGGTTTATAACCACTTTAAAAGATTCTAAGCCACTAGGAAAGCATAGTGGGGGACCAGCAATGATCAACATCATTTTTAGATCCACATCACAAGTTCGACAGAATCTCTGCATCATGGGTGACTATGTCAGCAGAGGCCTTAGCAGAACTTTTTTTTTAAAGATAAGGAGGCTGTCAACTTAGCCTTTGTTTGATCTATAACTGGCATAATTCTGCACATGTGATCAGGTATGACTCCAGCCATTTGATGGATTGACAGCTTTAGAGTACAAGCAAATGTGATATTCTCGGCAGTTTTTTTTAAACTGTAAAATGATGGGTTTAGTTCTGTTTTAATCACATTCATTAAAGTTAAAAACGCAAAGCAACAAAAAGGAAACAGACCTAGCTGTGTTATTTCAAGTGACTGTCATGTGCGAAGTCTGGACTGCCATTTCTGACAATGCCAGTTGCCTAGCTGTATCTGATTTCAGTACTTTAAGGCTCCATGCACACTGGCTTAAAAAAAAAAATGCAGCTTCTACTGGAGATGAAAAATATTATATGTTAATGTATATAAATGTGAGAGTTAGGAACCCTTAGATTGTAAGCTCCTTGAGGGCAGGGACCGATGTGAATGTACAATATAAAAAGAATGTACATCACTGTGTAATATTGGTGGCGCTGTATAAGTACCTGTAATGATAATATACAGTGCCTTGAAAAAGTATTCATACCCCTTGACATTTTCCACATTTTGTCGTGTTACAACCAACAACGTAAATGTATTTTATTGGGATTTTATGTGATAGATCAACACAAAGTGGTAAAATAACTGGTTTTCAAAATTTTTTACAAATAAATATCTGAAAAGTGCCGCATACATTTGTATTCAGCCCCCTGGAGTCAATACTTTGTAGGACCCCCTTTCACTGCAATTACAGGTGCAAGTCTTTTTGAAGATGTACCAGCTTTGCACATCTACAGAGTGAAATTTTTGCCCATTCTTCTTTGCAAAATAGCTCAAGCTCTGTCAGATTGGATGGAGAGCGTCTGTGAACAGCAATTTTCAAGTCTTGCCACAGATTCTCAATTGGGTTTAGGTCTGGACTTTGATTGGGCCATTCGAACACATTAATATGCTTTGATCTAAAACCATTCCATTGTAGCTCTGGCTGGATGTTTTGGGTTGTTGACCTGCTGGAAGGTGAACCCCGGTCTCCAGTGTTATGCAGACTAACAGGTTTTCTTCTAAGATTGCCCTGTTTTTGGCTCCATCCATCTTCCCTTTCCCTGCTGAAGAAAAGAATCCCCACAACATAATGCTGCCACCACCCTGTTTCACGGTGGGGATGGTGTGTTCAGGATGATGTGCAATGTTAGTTTTCCACCACACAAAGCGTTATGCACGTAGGTCAAAAACTAAAATTTTGGTCTCATCTGACCAGAGCACCTTCTTCCACATGTTTGCTGTGTCCCCCACATGGCATCTCACAAAATTCCAATGAGACTTCTTATGGCTTTCTTTCAACAATGACTGTCTTCTTGCCACTCTTCCATAAAGGCCAGATTTGTGGAATGCACGACTAATAGTTGTCCTGTGGACAGATTCTCCCACCTGAGCTGTGGATCTCTGCAGCTCCACCAGAGTTACCATGGGCCTCTTGGCTGCTCTCCTGATTAATGCTCTCCTTGCCCGGCCTTTCCATTTAGGTGGATGGACATGTCTTGGTAGGTTTGCAGTTGTACCATACTCTTTCCGTTTTCGGATGATGGATTGAACAGTGCTCCGTGAGACGTTCAAAGCTTGGGATATTTTTTTTTTTTATAACTTAACTTCTCTACCTTATCCTGGACCTGTC